AAAATAGTTTTATGTTAAGTAGATAGATACGCGACAAAGATAGAAAGTTTACTATGAAATTATATTAAAGGTAAACTTTTTGGGGAATAAAGTCGATAATCATTATAAGAAGGAGAACACAAACGATACTTTATCAAAGTGTAAATCTGAAATTCCAAGCTAAAAAAATTGGACACATGAAATGTTCACATCATATATGTGATTTAGTCCTCATCTATCTGTATTTTGGGTATTTTTATTTTTGTAAGAGTCATGCGTACAAAATATATTTTGAGACTATATGGATTAGTCACCCTTTTAACTTCAAGTTGAATTTTTGTGAAACAATAGTATTGGAATGATTATACGGTTATCATGTCGGAAAATATCGGGTATGTCGGGCGCCATTGCGGCCAAGAAATATCGGCCAAATTTCAGAAAAAACGGTTTTAAGCTTATTGGGTTAAGTTTAAAAAACCCGACTCGGAAATCAGGTGTTTACAATTGGTTAGTGATCCTAACATCAATAAGTTATGTACTTTTTCATATGTTTAGACAATATAATTATCAAGTATGTGAAAATTCCATTTATGATATTATATCAACCTATCCGATATTTTTTTCATGTCCCCCGATATATCCTCGATTTTCGCTATCCGACATGAATTTTGGCCGACCGACATGAACCCGACATCCGACATTTAAAACATTGATACATATACAAATATTTATATACATGTGTATACACATGTATATACATATTTGTGTGTGTGTGTATATACATTACACACAAATGTATATACAAATATTTATATACATGTGTATACACATGTATATAAATATTTGTGTGTGTATATATATAAATACACACACAAATATGTATATATATGTATTATATACATATTTATGTGTGTGTCTTGTGTATTTTTGTATATGTATATGTATACATACATACATACATATATATGTATCTATATATATATATATACATACATATATATATATATATATACATACATATATATATGTATATACATACAAATATGTATATGTACATATATTTGTATATGTATATGTATATATGTGTATGTATACATATATGTATTTACATATGCATATATATGTATATTGTATATGTATATACA